AATCCTGAGAGTGGTACGTTGCAAAAACTGAACGATGGAACGGGGTTTAAAGTCAAAGACGGAAAGCGGAGAATGGTCGGAGAGGAGAGTGAAGAGGTGCGAAGGTCTTCTTCCAAAAGGTTCCACTTTTTCTGAGACCTCCAGGACAACCAACGATTTGCATAATAATGGAGGCGTAGTGAAGCGAAAACTTTCTTTGCAATGGCTTTCCCCCTTTCTCCACCCCCTCTCCTATTGGGGCAGTGTGATGAGTAGTTTAAATGAAAGATAAAAAAGTAATTAAAACAATAGGTAATTGCGGATCAAAATAGCCACGGGGAAGGTACTCGGCCAAAGCCCAGGCGCAGTCCACGAACTGCCAGAGAAGTCTCAATCCTCTTGTTATTGGCCAGTAAGTCCGAGAAGGATACGTAGATCCTTCTCGGACCGTCTCGACATGTAACGTTAGAGGTCGATGATGGCCTTTGGGACCATCTCGACACGGTTGCCTTTGGAAAGATTGTCTCATTGCCTCCCAAGTTCAAATGAACGTTGGAGGCTCCTATTCAGGAATGCCCATGGATCCAAAATGGGTCACATCGATCGATCATCGCAAAGAACTGCTTCAGTATCCTTCCCCTTAGGATAGGATAGAGGGTTAGGGGGTGGAAGGAATCCAGAATGAAATTCACATAAGATGAAAATGAGATCCTTTTTCCTCCACACCCCCGGGGAAAAGTAGCTTTGAATTTGCTGGAGTGATCAGAGAGTAAGGAGCATGCTTCAAGCCTCCATGCTCTCTCTCAGAGAGCTTTTTGAGATCCACCTTCTCGTATTCCATGGAAGGGCATGACGGGAATGGATTGAAGAAAGGGATAGGCTTTACCGCACCTATTCATGGAATCATGTACAAAGCAGTCAACACAGTACGGAGGGGTGGGGCTGACAATCGAGCTGACTACCGATTCGATGCCCCTCTCATGGACGTGACAGAGAAGGAAAGCAAAAAGGGGGAGCCCCACTCCGTCACCACGGTTCAACATACACAAACATGAATGCAAAGGCAAAGCATACAAATAAAGGCAGTACAAGGTGTAAGTCTAGAGGTTCAGATGAAAAAAGGTGATGAAAAGGAACTTTAGTATGCTTTCGGGGATAGGGTAAAGCATCAACGAACAATATCTAAGCGTTTGGGACCGTCGTGCGATGCGATGAGAAGAATACATGGCGAGTCAGGAGACGTTGCCTGGAGAACGTTCCAGACGTGACTTAAAGGTTTATCGTGTTTGCATCCAGCCTCGGTGATGCTGATCTGGCTCCTCTTTCTGTAGAGGAAATGTAAGCACGGTTTCTTATAGGCTGCCTACTTCTCCCGAGATTTTATCAAATTACAGCTAATGAAGTGGTGCCAGACGACGCGTGTCGTTTGTCGTTCGGGCATCCTAGGCCAACAATTGTTGGATATGACCTTAAGGTCCATCTAAACTTTAGTTTTGAGCAAGGGAGAAGCAATTGTGGGGAAACGCGGGGAAAGCGGGGAAACGAACGAAGAGGCATGTCGTCTGACGATTGAAAGGAGAGAGAATCGCGTTGCGGATTTTCGCTTCATGATCCCTGTACATCGTGGATCGAACCCCACTTCGTCTATCCATGACACATTTGACGATCCACCTCATGTTTCTCTACATAAGACTTACAATCTGGCATGTCTTTTGTGGACTCGCAAAATCTATGTTATCTCTATCCAAGACAAATTACTGCGGTTTCATTTAGTAAGAGATCGCATCGTGCTCTTCGTCATCTTTCCATTGCAGGGATTTTTGACATTCAGAGATGGGAATATCTAGCATTTCGAACTCAGGTGGGCAAGACGCGTACTAGAAAAAAGAATATTTGAGTACCCCCCCCCCCCCCCCAACAAGCATTGCCGAAAAAATGGATAGGCTTAGGATGACCAGTTCATCGGAAAGGTCCGTGTGAGAGCCTGGGTAAAACTCAAACTTGGTGCTTACAACCTAAATGCAGAGCAGCGCTGGAACAGTACATGATAGATGATGACAAGAAAGAAAGATGATAATCACAGGAGTATCAATGTAATATGGGATTCTTCGAACCACTCCCCATGACGGAATTAACACGAAACGATATTCCTCCAATTCCAATCGTGATCCGGGAGCTTGAATCGGATGCGACGAGTGCGACTGCTGGTCGCACAAAAGATAGACAGGAATTGCGTTCCGGAATATGGCTAACGAGGACATAGAAGATCTCTATTATCTGTGTCCCACGTGTGTCCTACAAATAGGCCTCACGAGGACGACTCAGACCAGTTGATAATCAGAAATTCGTAATATTTGTAACCGCTACGTGTGCGATCGCTAGCTCTATGATTGAGGATCCATTATTTTCGCATGTCTCGTAGACAAGATCGCAAAGTACGACTCAAAGAACCTACCCAGTGATGCACGCGAAGAATAAACTGGGTCCATTTTTATTTATCCCCTTGCCTTGTCACTCAATGATGCCAATTGATCCATGTCGTAACACGATTCCATACCGATCGATCGATCGAACAAAACCTTCGTCGCTCGGTGATCACACGCCATACCAACAGATAATTGTGCATAGCTGACGATATTATCGAACTGGGTTGGGATCGGTGAGAGCTCTTTTCTTGTTTCATAGGAGAATATGGTACCTTTCACTGTGCAAAATCGCATCGCAATAACGTCAATATTGGAATTGCAGTAAATTTCTAATCCTGGTGGTCGGATTAAGGACGAATGATCGCTCGGTGGTACTTTACAATATTCTGCCGAGCTTGAGTCCGCCGTCCAGGATATGATTTCTGTGATCTCGACTTCTTGACTCATGCCCTTCTACACCTTGTACTTGTAAAACTAGCATATTTTATGCGTAACCTTTTACTATATAAAACCCATTGAAGCACTCTTTGAACTATGGTGCCAGAGTAAGGCTTCCCTTTTGCTTTCATGACTTCGCCGGTTCATTCTTTATCTTAAGGAGGGGGCAAAAGCTATGACTCACGGAACTATAGTGGAAATGTGATATCTTCTTGAAAGGGAAGCATAGTTATGATACAATCAGCAGACACATGACTTGAACATCCGCCACGTGCAATAGACGAAAGAGAACTGCGCGAAATATCCGCAATACAAATTTCTCCCTTCTCAATGAAAGAACGAGTTTTGAAGCCCGCTTTTCTGCCCCAGGCCCTTTCCCCCTCCCCCTATCCTCTCCCTCCATTTATATTGTACTGTAAATACATTTGTACTTGTTACATCAGCAAACAACAGTACTTTTGATAAGTATATTTTCCTTGCAGGAGAATTTTATGTTGACGGAGAGTCTTTGAGTAATTAAACGGGAAGCGTTTGCACCCCCGCGTTTGCACCCACGGAGGGGGTGCAAACGCTTCCGTTTACGGCAAATTCGTTTTTCTTCTCGCTGAAGTCCCTTTTCTTGAATACAGAAGAGCCTTCCCCACCTGCCGGTGATTTAAATGAGACCCGTAGTTATCCTCCTTTCCTTACCCTCTTCCTCTTCAGTGAAGCTCACACCCTTTTTTCGATGGAAATCCGCGAGATCAGATTGGCCTTTTGTTCTCTTGCGACTCAAGCCACGGATGACTATGGGAAACCGTCATCCTTGCCGAAGCGAAAAGTAAATTCGAATTTTAATGGATGGATCAAATCAACAAATCTTGGCAACGATAAAAAAGTTTAGCAATGAAACTTCGCGTTGAGGTAGGTCTGGTGCCGCAGCCAGGAAATATGAGTTTCATTTAACATTTTTTAGTATTTCTGCTCAAATAATCAAAAGTACATTTTAAAAATTATTTGTTGCCTTTAAAATCTCCCGAAACTTAATACTTAATGAACGTCTTATGAAAAAATTTGCCTTAGACCTTGTACAAACAGTGCGAATGCGGAAAATGATAGTTACGTTTGAAAACGTTCAAAGACCCAACCGAAGAGAATTTTAAAGCGAGGAGGAAAGACTGCATGCTGTGTAAAAAGTAGGCTAGAGAAGCAGTAGGGTAGAGAAGTAGGCTAGAGATGGGATAGAATCCCCTCAGGAGGAGGGTATTCTGTCCCGTCTGTATACCATTCGATACATTCGAAGATTCTTAGCCTATATTTTTAAACTCCATGAGCCATTTTCAACTTCATCTAGCTACTGGTATTTCCGGAAAAACCTTCTGTCATTCCTTACGCTCTCAGAAGGCTTGTGAGACTCAACCGCCTGTAATTCCCAGAACCCCCTTCTAAAATATATATATATGAACTAGTTTCAAATCCCTAGGTACTTCTCCAGGCATGATATTTTCGAATTTGGGTCTAAAGGCACGGATACTTCCCGACCTCATTCCTTGATGTCTCTCGCTGGAGTCCCTTCGTGGCCGACGGCCGCCGATCTGACGAGAGCTTCCCTATCTTATCCATTCTTCGATGGTGACTATATCCACGATGCACGTCACCTTCGTCATTGCGAATTCAAATATTTTTTGTATAAACATTTTATAATTAGTAGCGAATAAGTAGCACGTTGACACTTACACCATGATGGACATTAGATATGAGTCTGGGCTAAGTGGAAACGAATTTTCATCCATTACTCTTTACACCAATTCCTATTCACATCTTTTTTTTTACCATTTTCCACTCTATCTCTTCCTTTGGCAAAAGTGAGTAAGCGTCTTATACGAAGGGGTTTATCGTATATCAGTTCTCGGACAGAAATGGCCACTTATATTTTGTTGCTAAGAGCTGTCGAGAGGAGAGAGCCTTGTTATTTCTACAAAAGCATTATTCACGAGGGATGTTGGAGGCATGCCGTGAAAGCATAATCAATAAATATTTTCGGTGCGGGAACATGTATGTAGGAACGTAATCAGAGCACCAAGAACACTATTTTCACCAGATAGTTCTTGTATGAATATCATTTATTCATTTCGGGTGAAATGGAGGGGAAAGTTCTCAAATGGATCTTTCCTTGACGGCGTCGAGCAAGGCAACGATACCGTCGAGGGTTTCCTCTCCGGACGGAATGATCTGACTCGGGGGAAGGAGGAATCCCCATGTTCCCCTGTCTCTCAGCTCAATGCCATAGGAATACTTGATGCCGGCCGCCCCCTTAGTCCAGTCAAACGTTCCGCCACTGGCAATGTCTGAAAAAATGATTGAAGTATGCAAAATCCCTCACGTTCAAGAGGGCACCACATCTTACAACCACATTGTCCTATTCTTTTTCGAAATGTGATTAGGTTTGCCGATGAGATGAACTTCCGCTGTCAGATGCAATCACAATTTAAGATAGAGCGATACAACCAGAATTGTTATAACATTCCAATTTTTTTTTCCCCCATAGCTCAGGTTTGCGCTGATGCTTGAACTTCATTGTCGATTTAATTCCTCTTCCCGCCAAGATCTCCATAGCTAAAAAGGTTCTTTGTTTTTGTCCCGTACTCCGGGAGATCTGGAAGGATGTACTCGGCGATCCTCATCCTATTTTACCGGCGACAGAACCTACCGAAGCAAAACTGTAAAACATTTGCAACAACAGAGGCATCGATGGACTCATCTCGATCTCGGAGTGTGATGTTTGGGATCGCAGGTACTAATATAGTACTGGAATGACTGAAAAGTACTTAATATCCAAATGATACAGACCAATCTAAGCAAAAACTACAGGTCCGATTTCGATTACAGAGGTGCCATTGTATTATTATAGCTCTCAAAGTTTGTTAATTAGGTCGCAAGTTCTGAAAGCCCTAGCAATTATGGACAGTTGCTAAAAAAAAATACAATTAGAAGTGTCTCCAGTAAGATTTGTAAGCTTCGTGAAATAGGCCCCAGGTGTGGGATGTCTTCTCTTACGGGGACTTCTCCCTCATCAGACATTTCTCAGAGCCACTAAAATATTTGATTGGAAAGAAAGTTCTCGGAATTTCTTGAATATCCAGTACAATTTTTTTCCAGAGCATGCTAGAATGTTCTGCGTGTGTTTATAAGTAGGTCGTGTCCTTCGGCATACAACCGTATATTATTACAACCCTGGTGCTCTCCAGCCATGAACCAGCCCTACCCTCTTACTAAGGAGCAAGTTCGCCTGCTTCTTCTTTATGACTTCCGAATCAAGAAGAAGGCAGCCAATTCCATCGCTGACATCAATACCGCGTTTGGCCCGGACACTGTGTCCAAGAGCACTGCCTATGATTGGTACAGTCGCTTCCAGAAAGGAAATGAAAGCCTGGAAGACCAGCCACGCACCGGTCGTCCTTCGGAGTTTGATAACTCTGCCTTGCAGGAGGCACTGGAGGCCAACAACCGGCAAACATCGCGAGAGCTTGCGGACTTGCTGGGTGTCTCCCATACAACTATCCTTCATCATCTGGCTGAGCTTGGCAAGAAGGCAAAGTTGGGGTGCTGGGTACCCCACAAGCTGGATGATCGGGACCGCCAGCGACGAGTAGACATGGCCATCTCCCTTCTGTCACGTTCGCGCCGAACGGATTGGCTAGACTCAGTGGTGACAGGCGACGAAAAGTGGACCTTCTATGCCAACATTCGACGAAAACGTCAGTGGGTGGACGCCGGAGCATCGGCCGAAAGAGAACCCCGTCAGGAGTTGCACCCCAAAAAGATTATGCTCTCGGTCTTCTGGGATTCGAAAGGCATCATCATGTTTGAGCTGTTGCCGCAAAACACCACCATCACTGCTGCCTACTACTGCCAGCAACTCGATCGGCTGCAGCAGAAACTGGCTGAAACACGCCCAGAAAGACAGAGAACCATCCTCCTCCACGACGATGCCCGGCCGCACACCGCTAGACAGACTCATCTAAAGTTACTGGACCTGTGCTGGGAGGTGCTGCCGCATCCGCCCTACAGCCCCGACCTTGCCCCGTCCGATTATCACCTTTTCGTTGCCCTGGACCGTCACATGGGTGGAAAGCAGTACGCCAACCAAGACGACCTGAAAACCGATTTGGCCAACTTTTTCGTAGCGCAGCCGCCAGAGTTCTATTGGAATGGCATCCATAGTTTGCATAAACGTTGGCGTGAAGTGATAGAGGCCAATGGTGATTACATTCATGATTGAGATGATTTTGCTTTTAAATAAACTGGGTTGTAATAATTGTTCATGAAATTCCGAGAACTTTCTTTCCAATCAGGATTTGTGAACGGAATTCAATTGAACGTTAATAGCAGTCTCAGCTTTTTGTGCTATGCACTTCTTTAAGGCCTAGGTCCAAGGACATGCTTGCTGAAACTCCTCTGGAACTCAACTGCATCTCCAAGAGGAAGAGGAAAATGGGAAAGCATTCCCCTGCCGAGTAAGAAATAGTTTGCTGTTATAAATCTGCTAAACGTTTGGAGAAGTGGAGATGTGAAATTCAAGGGAATAATCATAAGAGTGGAGAGAATGGAATATGACAAACTTCTATCCTTTAAAAGTTTTCAGATTCCCAAAGGAGATAACTTCCAAGTGGCCATACTTCCACCCATAGTCTAAAGGACGACATTGGCGCAATCGTGTGGGGTAATACGGAAACCATATGACTGATGCAAGAATGCATATTCATGCCTGATATATCTTAAAGGAACTTGGTTATGAATGGTATGCTTTGGTATGTCCATCTCTCTCTCGATCAGACTGTTTTGAACTTGGAGGAGAAACTTACAAAGGACATCTGGAACGCTTCCTGATGTGTATTGTGTGTTATATCGTTCCTCGAGGGCACTCTCCATGATATGTGCCACGTCAATCTGTAACGGAGAGACCATATATTGAAGTCACTCTGGTGGACCTTAAGTTCCATCTATTCCAAACCATATAGGACATAGGATACTCACGAGATCGGTGTAGTCCGACGGGTGAGTATTTGTGTACCCCCAGGGGAGGAGAACGAGCTGAGAGTAGGAATGAACGTTGAGATACAGTTTGAAGTCAAATTCGGCCATATTGCTCTCAATATACTCAGCCATCGCAGACGTTTCCGTTTCGCTGAATGAATTCGGTCCATGGTAGGTCTCTGCACAGCTGTTACTGCTGGATCCTCCCTCTGCAATCGTGCACGAATGCCACGAACACATGAATTCGACAAACGCTCACGCGCACTACACACACGGGTGGGGAAGCTTTAACAGATGTACGAGGAGTGGCTATAAAGTAATGAGACTGCCTTTATAAGAAACATACCTGTACTGATACATCTTAATGAGCTTTGTCCCCTTCAATATAGTCACCTTGGGAATCTATACACTTGAACCAACGATGCTGCCACTGTTTAAAACATTTGTGGAACTCTTCTTTTGGAATCGCCTTCAGAGTCTGCGTATCTTTCTCTTGAATGTCCTCAATGCTGGCAAATCTTTGTCCTTTCAGGACGCCTTTCAGTTTTGGAAAGAGCCAGAAGTCATTCGGAGCCAGGTCCGGAGAATAAGGTGGATGATCAAGCTGGGTGATGCCTTTTTGTACCAAAAACTGTTTCGCTGAAAGCGCACTGTGAGCTGGAGCATTGTAATGGTGAAAAATCATTTGCCAAAGTTCTTTCCTTTTGCGGCACACAGAATCTCTTAACCGGTTCAAAATTTCCAAATAATAAGCCTGATCGACTGTTTGACCTTCTGGGATGAATTCTGTATGAACAATGCCGTTGATATCGAAGAAACAAATCAACATTGTTTTAAGTTTTGATTTTGATATTTTTGCTTTTTTAGGTCTTGGGAATTCCGGAGTTTTCCATTGAAGACTTTGTCGCTTTGTTTCTGTGTCATACTGGTAACACCGTGTTTCATCTCCAGTTATAATTTTTTCAAGAAAATTGTTGTTTTCTTGGGCTTTCATGGAAAGATCAGAACAAACATCAGTTCTTCGCTGTTTTTGTTCATCACTCAAAATTCGTGGCACCATCTTTGCAGAAACTTCTGCAAAGATGGTGCCACGAATTTCTCCTGTTCAAGTTTTCTGTCAAAATGAGTCATACTGTTTCTTTATCTAAATTTAACTCTTCAACTATCAATCTTATAGTTAAGCGTCTGTCTGAACGAACCAAATCTTTGACCTTTTCTACATTTTCATCGGTCCTGTGGGTTGTTGGACGATCGCTTCTTGCATTGTCATTGACGTCTTCCCTGCCTTCTTTAAACCTTTCGTACCAGTAAAAAAAATTATTGCTCTTGCTTGTTTTAACATTTCAAGTGTCTCACTTGCAGACTTTCCCAACTTCACGCAAAATTTTATGTTAATTCTTTGCTCTAAATAACGATCACTCATCTTTATGACGACATAAAGAAACACACGCCTCTTTTCAATACGGCTTCTGGCAGTTGGCTGATCCAATTCATGCGCAACTATTCCTGATGCAAGTCGAAACATGCAGAAACATGTTCCTACACGAAACACTCTATCCGTGGACAAACCATAAAGAAAAATCAGTCTCATTACTTTATAGACACACCTCGTATGCCCACTGGCTCAAACAGTAGCCAGTCGAATGAAACCGCTCTCATCTTTCTCTGTTTATTTAGGCTTAGCTACATATTCAACGTTAGAATGTTCCGAGTAAAGTGATATCGAGACATTCCATGGGAATTCAACCATAAGTGCTTGATCATTTTCGATTTTCTTGAAAATTGCAGGAAGTGAGATATGATGGGTGCAAGAATAGATGTGAGATTTTATTGGAATCGCAATGAGCAGGGACATAGCCCTTGCTTGTTCTGGCACCACTGTACACCTGTGTTGCCGCCATACGGCGATTTGGAAATTTAGAATTCACGAGCATATATCGGTGCCTAAGAGTGAAATTCAATTTGATACAAGAATTCGAAACCGATTTCGGATAACATGGTAATTTGGGTCAAAGGTAAGACTACAGAGAATGTGTGACAAGGAGCTGATGGGCAGTGATGATGTTATGACATGCGGTATAATGAGTCTTTGACCTACGTATCTCGTGACCAGCATTCGTGCATCGCATGAGGGAGGTAATTAGGTTTATTGAAGGAGTTCCTGCTCTTTCTCTGACAGAGGATGAAGGCGAAGATAGGAGAGTAGGTCATTACCGTGCATGGTTTCATGGCTCGCGGAAGACTATGGAAGTGAGATTTTGCTCTAACCATTGCATCAATCGCCAAGTTCGCGCATTACTGTTCTGAAAGAATTTTTTATCCCATTGGGAAGCGATGCTACCAACAGCCAGATGTGACATGCAGAAAGGCATCTGCTCGGTACTGAGAAAGGGGATCAATCTTCGCAGGAATACAAACGAAGTTGAGTCCTGCATTCGTTCTTTCTTGCACATGATGGTTGGATAGGTTTCACCGCCTGCAGGAAAAGCGATGAAAGGAGACTCTCGAAATATTAAATATGGGTCATTCCATGCGAACTCAACCGGGCAGTGCGCTCGACCATCTCGGATTTTGCGATAATAATTCTTATCGATTGCAATTAATATAAGAACCCCGTATTTAAAAAAAATGGAATTGGCTCTATCGGTCCTGCAGTAAGCGAAATATCGCCCCCGAACTTTGGAGGAAAACGGAAAACCACGCGGACGGTAAAAATTTCCATCTCAGGAACTGTTTACCGTACGGAGGCGTGCCATAGCAGAAACGGGGCTCTTTCATAGGTGAATAATTTGCTATATACATCCTTGGAGCTTGAATGAGATTTCATTGCCTTGCCTACCAGCTATATATCGCGCTGATTTATATCTGTTTTTGTAACAACCATCCGGCACTTGGAAGGAACACGATTCCATTATGTAGTCTGATTCATCTGAAAAGTACATGCATGCATTGAGGTCAACTGAATTCTAATCACGGGAAATCCATAACGATTTCAGATATTAACATTTTCATGTTTGGAGCAAGTATCAGATAGAATCAGGGCTATGTATAGGTCAGTGGTGAGATATACATAGCCCTGGTTGTTTCACCAGGATTTCCATTGTTGATAATTTTGGTAATACATCTCAAGAGAAAAATTGGCAAGTTCAAAGGCTGAAAGAAGCGCACAGAAGCGAAAATTAAAATTAACATCATGAGTATCGATGGACAGAACTCAGGGAGCGCTAACTTTTGATTTTAGTATATTAATATTGATTGAGTTCATATGGAATACATTACCATTCCAATGAAACCCGAAGTTGCGGTTCCCATCGACTCCACGGCATGTGGTTCCATGGTCGCTCCTCGTCTTCCTCCAGAGCCGGTCCTGAAACGAGGAGACCATCGAGTGTCTCATATTCAGTATTCAGTGCATAGAGACATGGGGAAATCATACAAGTCCATGGAAAATGGACGAGAGGCTTCTATTGGGACTGGGGTGAGGTGGTATTCACTAACAATCATCGAAAAAACTCTGCTTCTCATCAATTCTGCGGACTCTTTGAACTTCCATGTCCCCTTCCGTGTTGCCTCTGTACTTTGTGCTCCAGTATTCAATGGCACGTACATGTTATACTTGACGTCCCGAAAAAAGGACTCCCTGGAGCGAGCCAGTTCCGAGGAGCAGGCTAAACAGTTCATCAATTTCACAGCAATCCTCAAGATACAGAAATGCTGTTTGGCATGGTCATTAGCCAAAGAACTCACACGAAGCATACATTTCCACGCATAATTTAAAAGAACTTATGAGTGGAATTATTCCAATTTATGTAGTAGCTGAGAGCAAGGAGGGGTTGGACTCACTAACCCTCCGCACGACAACTGCCGGGAGCATTCTCCTGTTTGTGTCAAACGCTGAACTCTTTAATGGTGAATACATCATATGAAGTTCTGATAGTTGTGCAAACTCCCCCCCCCCCCGGGGCCCATTCCACAGAAGATTTACAAGCTATACCTCGTAAGTTAAGTCTATTGTTTGTAGAGGCAAGTTTCTTTTCCACAAAGGAAAATTTTTACAAAGAAGAACTACAAGTTCACCCATTTACAAGGGAACGGAGTTTGGGAAAACGGATTCTGTTACACCGAGCCAGATATTTTACAAGTGCAAGCCCATAGACTTGTAATTTTAATTTCTACAAGACTTTCATGCATGGTAAATATATTTTCCGCACTTCCATGCCTTGCAGAGCCGAAGGATTTTCGTGTTGTGACCATCACTTAGGATAAAAGAACTTTTAACGTCCTTCACTCTATACTACCCACGTTCTTATCTACACTCTAAAATAACCTTAGCGTTACTCGTCCCTGTATCGGGAACGAACAAGACCGTGGTGACATGTGGACACAACGGCGGAAGTTTAATCCTAATAGAGCAAAAGAGATGTTCAATAGCGTCATTTAACTCTTTATAATCACATCAAAATAAAACTCCATATTGATTAGAAATATTTTGTCTATGTATAAATCCCACCCACTGAGAGGCATACTGGCCAAGGCGCTAACTTAAATTAATCAAATATTTTCTTCAATATCATTCATAAGTCCTGTGTTACGCAACGGCATGTATTATAAAATACATATTCAAAAGGGCGGAGTAAAAATCCAAAACGCTGGAATAACTCCTAGTTAAAATATGTCAGGATCTGGTGCTCTGTAACTAAGGGTCAACACTTTAGTGAGTTACTTGGAGTAATTTCATCCTTTGAAGTCTATCATATGGTATGTAGACCAGAGAAGCTCAGACTCTTGGTCATTGGATCCACACAGCCTGTGAGACGCGAATTCAGAAGTAGAAGAATTGACAATTTCGGCTGTATAATAGACCAGGAAGCAACGAAGAGGTAGGGAAAGTACGTTCAATACAGAATAGAGACAAAGCTGAAAAAATCATTCACGTCATCCATGCCACATGCCGCTAAACCTTTAAATCTTAAGTGCTCGTATATAGCCACGGATTCTCACTTTAAGTTAAACTATGTTCTTAAGCTTTGGCTAAAGCCTATTGTACCATTAAACCCAGTTTCCATTCTGATGTCTCTACTACTTCTTATTTTACAAGTGCAAGCCCATAGACTTGTAATTTTAATTTCTACAAGACTTTCATGCATGGTAAATATATTTTCCGCACTTCCATGCCTTGCAGAGCCGAAGGATTTTCGTGTTGTGACCATCACTTAGGATAATATGAAATGTCACAGAATCGTTGCTATGCCATGCGCTATTGCGTATGTCGATGGCACCCTGATCAAAATTGATGCCTCAAGCCAACATGAAGAAGCATTCGTGGATCGACAAAGGGATCATTCTTTGAACTGTATGTTAGTTTGTGGTCCTGAACTTGAGTTTTATGCCAGGCTGTTTCACGATGCACGTGTGCTGGGAAACAGTTCCCTTGGCAAGACACATGTTGGATGCTGGTTGGCGGCCTTTCCCTATTTCTGTCATCTTGGGGGATTCTATGTATGCTTTGAAGGCTCACCCCTCCACTCAATCGGAACCCTGAAGACCCAATAGAATAGGAACTCTACCAGTCTCAAGAGTCAAGTCGTCAATTGATTGAATGCACAATTGACGTATCAAGAGAAAAATCTCCTTGCCTGAATCATTTACGAGGGAATCCTGAATATGCGGGACCAATTTTTAAAGCATGTGTGAAATTGTGAAACATAGCTCAAGAACCCAAAGAAACTGGCATTCGGAATGCGATTGGGATGGATGGAGACAACGAATGACGACAACTGATTTAGGGAGAATTAGCTGCATTTGAAGGAGCCACATTTCCCTAAATGGGAGCATTTATGCCAGTGGTATGCTTGGAGGGAGGGGGGATACTCAAAGTCTTTTCCAAACAGAGGATTTCCCACTTGAAGTTTTGCAGCTCTATATATTCAATTTGGAGCTTCAGTTTCTTTGCTTTCAGATCCTCCTGATCCCCATATAAGAGAGGTATACGAGGAAAGGATAGCATTTTCTACTTCTTTTCCACAGCTGCTGTCTCAGAAGACTTCGTTGGAAATTGACTTCTTTCATAGGAAGTATTTCCCTGAAAACGAATGCACCGATTTTTCGGATTAAACATTGACATCTTCCAGCTTCATATTTTCGAACATGAATGTCCATTCGACCTATTCTGTACTCAGAGCTAATAATATGAACAGGCTCTAGTGCCTTGTACTTTTCAATTTACAAGTATTAGTGCAAACTCTGTGAAACAGAAAATACCAATGCTTGTATTAATAGCTCTTCCATTTCATATCATGGAAGGCCCCTGGATGTGTAGAGGACACTGAAAATACTTTATCCTTTAAATGAAAGATGTTTAGAACGTTGGAGGGGTGATGAATAAAGAATGGAATAGGGAACAATTAGCGAACAAGGAGTCAGTTAGCAAACGAAAGTCATGAAATGCGATTTGGCCTTTTGTTACTCTAGTTTCACACTCCATCCCTAGCATTAATTAATCAATCAATCAATTTTGTGCAGATACCCCATGCTGGAGCGTGTAACCCGAGAAACAAAAGGCCAAATCGCATTTCGTGACCCTCGTTCGCTAACTGGTGCCGCTCTCCTGGGCTCGTTGCAGATGTATTTGCCTGCTTGGAGGGGAGGGGGGGGGGGGGGGATTTCATATGGAGGCTATGTTATAAAAAGCCTGCTTTTCCTCCCGCTTCCGATCAATACAATATTCAACAACGATTGCGTGTTGAATGGAGATACCACCAGATGGATACTTTTTTTTTGCAAGGAGCCTATATTCCAAAATAAACTGACATTAGTTTGGGACCACTCCAAGCCGTCAGGATTGAAGACGGGGAAGAAGTGGAGATCGTATTCATCCAGGATTCTCTCATAGGCGGGATTCGTGAGGAGTTCGTTCATGATCCAAGTTAAAGTGGCCGACGTGATCCATTCCCTCGCGTGGATGTCTGCATGCGAGACGAGAAAATTCCCTCAGGGGTCGAACCAGGAAGATCCGGCTGAGGCCATATAAGACTCACTCGCATCGATGAAGGCTGCCATTTTCTGCTGTCCGGGGTTTTTATTGAATCTGACGAGCTTGAGGTCCATGCCCATATACGAGGTTCCAATGGTCTGCTGAGAAACGATGCCCGGATACAAGGAGGGGAGGGTGTCCAGCCATTCGTATATCTGGAAAAAAGACAGGGTAAGAAATTAACAATAAATGTTAAATCCCTGGCGAAAATTCTAAATCCATGGCCTGGAGTACTTGCCCATATCAGAATGGACATACTCGTGATAAAATCCTCGTTATAAAGCTTTGGACAACAAAGGAAAACTCGTGTGATTGACTAGACACTTGAAGAATCTTAAGTCAATATAAGCTTCAAACTACAGAGAGACCCAGAAAGATAAAGATTGGCAAAGAAAACTCAAACGTACTCATTCACTCGAGGGATTTGAGACTTGAGGCTTCAAATTACTGTGCTCAAAGAGAAAAATATGAATCCAACGGTATTTTATGGTGAAGGTGATCCTTTTTCAGAATTTTTTTTTTTGCTTTTTTTTTTGCTCAGTTGCCCATTATGTATGAAAAAATAGGATTCCGAAAAAATTAGTTCTTCCATGATATTCTTTAGCGAATATAACCTTTTATTTTCCCTTACATTGTGTGGAATTCCGTGCCGCGATCACAGCGACTTCAACATCGCAGAGGCCTTTGTCTTTGATTCGATATACCTCTCAAAATACGTGAGGACCCTTGAGATAATCGGGATAGGGGGGTAAGGAAGGACGAATGGGTACAGCAATTTTGGCAGCAAGACTGCGACCCGGACTGTGTCATCTCCGAAATCCCCCATTTACGGTAGCTAGGTGTGGAAAATAATGCGTTTACTGGAATCTGCTTTTTTTCAAAATTTATTTATCTGTTTTTTCTCACCCTCAAGGGAAGAGAAGTTTTATTTTCTTCGGGTGACTCTTCAAAGGCCATGGAGAAGACTCAAATTTTTTTCCCCTTAAAACGCTGAAAGAGAAAACGCAAAGATGGATATTTTAGGGGAGGTGATTAAGATTGGGAGAAGGCTAGGGAGCATCTACTGATTCAAGGAGATAGGCTACGAAAACGTCAAATGAACCTATTGTTATCATAGGCTTTTAAGCTTGGAAGCTTACTTTACCGGCGATACGTATTGCACCACCAAACCAAATACTAGCACAATAGAAACTGGACTCGAAAAATGGAGGAAGCAATCACAGGAGAATCCCTGAAAGACGCACGAGCCACGAACACGGGCCATAGGGAAGATGATAGGGCGAAGAGGCCATGCACTTTTAAGCGCTTCCGTGTGAATCTCTGTTAAACAGCCAATGCATTGCCCGAGGGTTTATGTGGGGGCTCTTCTTCGACACGAAGTGGAAGGCGGAAGTTGACGTGCGTCTCGACGAGCCACTCAAACGCCCCCCCTCTCAACTCGGCTATAGACGCATTTCGGTTTTGCAGACGCCTTTCAGGCGACCCAGCACGGTCAGGAAGAGACTGATATGAATCAGAATCCCATGTTGTTGCTGCCGTTTCCTCTTGAAAAAAATTAATCGAAACGGTAAAGGACCAATGGGTGTAAATTCGATTTACCGATTTCTCTGAGTGAAAGAAAGAAGTAAAAAAAAATTATTGAGTAGATTGTGATCAATTTATCTCGTCATGGCTTCGGTTGGTTCCCCTTTGTGGCTGATGATCTCCTGAGAGATCGTCAGCCACAAAAGGGCTTGCTCTTCTCGAAGTTCTCATATCATGAGAACCGTTTTCTCTACGCTCTCTTCACGGTGCTTGACGACATTGCGTCGTCCGGGGAATGGAACCTCAATAACTAAACCTGAGACGGAACAGTTTCTCCTACACCAAGGATACAGTGATAATTTGTAGAGGGAAAATTGTTTCAATGGGCTCAGCCATAGTTACGCCACATCATTCGCGTAGTTCTTTTCCTGCGATTCTGAAGAAATCCTATCAACTAGAGAGGGAGGAAGGAGCATATAAAGAACTTAAAATTGTTCAACGAGATATGCCAACAAAAGAGACTCTATTCATTCTTGCACTTTTCTCCTCATATTTCGTTACGCAGCAGTCATGCAAGTAGTATCCAACTTGTAGATGGGAGTGTAGAAGGGAATGATGATAAACTTTCGAGCTCACCGAGTCCACAGATTGGTAGGCATCCCAAGCCATTCTGCTTCCCTTTGGCGCCAACTTCTGGTCTTCGATCAGGCTGAAAGAACAAAGAAATTGTTAGAAAGACATACAAAGAGGTCAGGACTTCATTTTCCTCCGCATTTACTCCGAAAGGCAAACTACAGAGTTCACGTCAGCAATACACGAAAATATGCTGAAAAGTTGGATTTTCATCTCGACAGTTACCAGTTGGTATGACACATTGAATCCTTCAGCCTAAATGACAAAAAAGTTTTTTTTTTTTCTTTTGGAAGTCGGGATTTCCTTGGGTGTCGGGACTAACTCAACTAATTCCCACGATAGGAAGCCTTGTGCTGGGGTGAGGAGCAAGTGCTCCTAAGTGTGCCTCATGTGGAATTTATGCTTTCCCTCAAATTATCCAATTTTTCATGGCTGCTTCTTAATACTATAAAAGCAATATTGAAAGCATAAATAGATAATATTTCTGGGGTATGTGCAATAAAGTCACCGAAGACTAAATGGGCTGTGGAAGTTTCAAATTTGGTGTTGACTGAGACTATGGTCCGTTGAAAGCCAAAATCACACTTGAATACCTCTATTTTACCTATTATTTCCCTCATATAGAATTTTTCAGTCTTAACGTCCGATTTTGCTTGATAACTTACGACTATGTATGCCAAAGATGAGCTTCCTAGGGATTATTTTGGCTTATAACACGCATACATATTTGGACATATCGATACCTGGCACAAAATTCTCCTCTCAAAGTTATTTTTTTGTCTTGAATCGTTGACTTTGACTCGGTTAGCTGTAATGAGACGAAATTGTTGCACATGCACTCATTTTTCAACAGCAAACAAATTTAACAGTCAATTTGGCCAATTGAGTGAAGACATACCGACTTAGGTTAAATGTAACGCTGTAAAATTCATGACAATACTGGTAGCACTCCACCTAAACTCAGAAAAGTCTGAACATTCTGTATTCCCCCATTAGTTGTGGTCAAAATCCAATGAGTTTTGCAGTTTATTGAATTGCAATGTGACGATGAAAGACTCACCATTGAGATCATGGAATGAAATAGCGTTTCGAAAAAAAAGAACTATGCATGGGGAAAGAAGACCTTTGAACATTGGGGATGATGACTCCGGGATGGAAACCGGCCTGGTGGAGTTCCTCAAGAATACGAGACTTTTCCCCAGGACTGACCATGATGTCCACAGGCATATCCACCATCGACGACTTCTTCCAGAAATCAAGCTGAAAGGACAAACGACTGCAACGTTTTCCCCTCGTCACTTGAGCGCATTGACAGCCAGTAGACTCACTTCGGGGTGGGAGAGTTCGAATTTGTGCATCTCAACAAGGGACTCTCTATCGTGAGGAATCACTCGGAGGACGGAATAGTTGTCGTAGGATTTCATTCCCCTCATCGGGACACATGAAACCGCCATCAGGAATCCCAGGAAGAGGAAACCCTTCATCCATGATCTTTCCCTGCAACGATTCCCGCCTTGTTTTATAAAATCTAAGAAATTAGCATAGTCGTCTGGTTATTCGTGAGAGTCTGGACGTTCTCTTTAAAGGAAGGTCTTTTAAAGGAACTTTAGATGTCAGTTTAAAAGAAAGGTTTGTTTATATGAAGCAAACTATTGAAAAAGTGATCTCTTCCAGTCCATGACTGAGGATGTTTTTATTTATTTAGATGACGAACGGGAAGTTCGATGGAACTTCCCGATAAAGTTCCTTCTTTACAACATCATTACTTAATTATGTTTAATAGGAGTTGGATTGCAATATAATGTTGTCATAACACATCTACATACACATCTACTATTGCATTACTTTAGGCATGTCTAAAAAAAATTAATTAAATTACAATAATTTTGTACAATGTTGCAATCATGGAACTAACATTTAACTTTCACATCTCCCCTTCTTCATGCATACCTTGAATAAGCCAATGCATTTTAAAATAAATTAATTTCGTATAATGGTACGCCATCAATATTAATTAATTCACGCTAATTAAGCTATTCTTTTTGCACATGTGAGGAATCAACTAGCCTGTGTCTTACAAATATTGAAAAACGGGCAAACTCTGCATTATTACTAATCTAGACGATGGTCCAAAAATTAGGAGACACTTCTTAAGTTCCTGCATCTTTTAAAGGATGACATGAATTTCCACGAGATTTAATGTCGTGCTGCCTTGTCTATTGTCCTTATTTCCTCAAAATTTACTGAAATTGGTCGGGAGAATCCAGAGATAGGAGTACTTTAAAATATCCGTACGGAACATTGCTTTGCAAATGCTGTCGCTGACGTCGCTGAAAAATTGAATTACTTGACTGTTATCTGATCATATCTGATTTTTTTTGCAAATCCTGTAACCCTTCATATGATGAAGGGATGCAAAAAGATGCAAATAAGGACTTTATCATCATGCAGGACTTTCTCATAAACTGTTTGTGAAATGAGGAGCAGGAGCTCCTGGCGAGCCAGGCAGAGTTGGCACCCTAATAAGCGCTCTCGAAGGGGGAGTGGGGCAGGGTAGGGTGGGGAGGGGAGGAGGGCATTATCAGCGCAACCATCGCATTTTCCCACCGAACATGCTTCAATGCTTATACCTCAGGATATCAAGGAAAATGCGCATGAGTGGGCGACATAAAATTTTAACCAGTCTCAATGCACTATTTAAAAATATGTAGGAATTTTGTAAAAAGGTAGAACGAGAATTGAAGAATGTTTGTCTTTAAACTAGAGAAAGCTCATACCTCATACTTGCAGCTTCCCGATGAAAAGTCGAATATTCCTCAAATTTCATTTTGTGGTCCAAAAAAACTTGCAAATTATTTCCCTTTTGAAAAATTTTCAACTAACATATTCTCCCTTTTGTCAGATCGTCGACGATGTCATCCAATTTCAAGCAATCGAACCATACTTCTCTTATAATCTTATTCTGAATAAATGTCCTCCTCTCTCCTCGGTCGGAATACCGGAAGGTTTCACGCCTAATCGTTGATAGATGTAGAAGCCCTGAGAATCTGCCTTGCTCTTGGCTGACGGTTAATGAAAATTCGTGTTCGACTCCTCGAGTGCAGAGTGCTGCATTGCATGCCTCGTGCATATATTGTTTTCATTTTCTGGCATTAGACTTGGTGCATGATATTCCCGTGGGACCTCAGAACCCAATCATTTCGCCAAACTTTTCACTTACGAACCTCTATACCCCTCTAAAAATTTATTATTTGCTTTCAACACCTTAGAAGGGTGCCTGCGGTGCCTCTGCTGTAAGTGTAAAGGGGGCTTTAGCCTACATTGGATCGTGGCTAAAAGGGTTTCTGGGTGTTTCGAAATACAGTTTCTTTCCGATTTAAATTCAACCCTGAGTTTGTTTCAGTCGGATGCTGACTGTAGAAGTGCTGGAAAGAGCTACAATACGTCAATGAAGCTCTGATGAGAATTTAAATCTGTACTTTGAGTTGTTCTTAAGCGCAACATGATAGTGAGCGTTCACTCTTTCCAATGGGACTCTACGGAGGAAATTCATGAAAGATCTGTCAGGAATTTGTCTCAAGCTTAAAAAATTAAATAAAAAAGCTTTGGCCGAGGGTGAAGCGAGAGATGATGGGGGGCTTGCTCGCACGTAAAAGGTATGGATTTGCTCATCCATTTTTGTGTCTTTTATAACTTTCCATTTGATCGGAAAAGCGAAAAACTTTTTGGGCACCTTTGGGGGTGTGCTCATGTAAATTGCTCGCTCTTTATGAACTAGACCAGATAAAGTAACTTTCCATGTTCGCAAATTGTAGCAGCAGAAGCGGACAAAAATAAGAAGGAAACTCCTTACATTTTCCTCTTGCGTAACTCCAGGGGGATACAATCTCAAACTGCGAAGATAGGCACACTGGATAGATCAGTGAAACCGTCATTCCTATTTATTTACCATCAAGGTTATCTTACGCAACATTGCGACAAGTGGCTTTTTTCTTAAGGGAACTGGCTAACTGTTCCTCGAAATCCCGGGTAGCCTTATTATTATAGCTTCATGGGAAAACCCAGGGTATATCCGGTATTTCTGACGAACGAAAGAAATTAAATTTGTACGAGGTATGTCCCAGAGTCTTGTCATTGATATTTTTTCTTCGCAACCACACATCTGGAAACTATAGATGGCACTCTTTCATGTTAAATAAATCAAACAACTAGGCGTTGGTCCACCTAGGCAATAATTTTTTTGCGAAAATTGTTACAGCTACGCTCGACGTTTTGTAAGAGCAACTGTAGCGGCAGTAGCTTGCTTCCTTTGCTTCTTGCCATCTAAAAGATGGCAAGGAACATGAAGTATGCAGGGCTGTAGTCGCCCATTCAAATGACTTATGATGAAATGCTTTCTAGCATGCGTTTAATTTCATTCGGAAAGCAGTTTAGCTTATTCGTGAGTAGGTGTCAAAATTATCCAAAATTTCGCCTCTAAAGTTAGCAGAGTTCTCACGCTGAATGAGTTCTCTCTCCCTATTTTTTTGTTGTATGTGCTCATGACTGAGTGCGATTTTTTCCTAAATCAATATCATATCTTTCAAAACGGAAGGTGAGCTATATAGGTTGATGTGGCGACATGTTTTCAATAGCGGCGCCTCAGAACTTAAATAAATGTGATCTCTAGGGTCTATGTCCACTTCATAGAGATGCACAAAAAAAATTATTTTGAGTATTTGCTTTTTCATCTTTTCCCAGGTTCAAGATGAAGGCTGTCAGAGGAAGAGTCTGTGCGAAGAGGGATAATCAGAGGACTCCCATTATTGCTACCGACATGATCAAAAAGAGAGGAATTAACTTTGAGAATTTGAAGTTCCAAATCGAGATGATTTCGCCTGAGGTCAGTCGTTATGGCTTCACATTGGCTTGGATGCATCAAAAACTTCTCTCGCTTTAGAGTTGTTTCAAATCGTAAAAAAAGTTGAGTTGGAAAAGGATGCATAAATAAAAATAACTTCCTCTTCTGGTGAGAAGCACGATCTTATGAGAACTTATATGACATGCTGAGAAATGAGAGAAACGGAGACGTGAAGGTACCACAGTTTAATCCTAAAATGATCACATTCATTGAATGGACAGAAAATTCCAAAAGAGAGAGGAAGAGAGAAGAAAGAGAGGGAGGAAGATGTTGGATATGCCATGAACCCGTGGAGCGTCGTTGCACAGGTCCTCCTCGCAGGTGCAAGCATATTTGATCCATTTGAAGCCATGCTGATCCAGCAGAGGCCCCGACGACCTACACTCTTGCCGGGGCCATATCACGCAGTCAGCATACACCAGGTTTCCTGCAATTTTGATGAGGTGAAGAACGCAGACGAGAAAAGGTCTCTGTTCATCATCGAAGACGAGCAATTTACATTCTGCATATATAGGGTGGGTATGAAATAATCAATGCCGTTCCAAGAATTTATTTCCAAAGGTAAGCAGTTCGCACTACATAAGTACTAGTAATGATACCCTTGAAACCGGCAAAACATTTGTTCAATCAGCTGGGTTGATATTTATTGGCCTCCATCAGCTTCAATAACTGCTTCTAAATGAAATCACCCAGTCTAGAAAATGGAACGGAACGTCCCACTCTTGGATAGTTTTTCCAGCAAACCCGCTTATCTCAAATAAATCATTTCACGCACTTATTTGCAATTGTAGGCGATTATTGCACTCGAAGAAATGTTTTAATAGTTTTGGGGGGGAGTGTCCCGAAACGATTCTTAATCGGTTTTGAAATCGACAGGTTCTCGACGTCTTACAATCTTGAATTCACTGATTCAAAGAGTCCCAAATGTCTGGTGGTGAGCACTTTCGCTCAAGTTTGGTAAAGCCTTCAGACCTGACGGCATTTCATAGATTTATTTACTTTGGTTCACGTTCCCGTATGCTGTACAGACGAATTATCGGACCTGAATGTCTCTCAGCTTAAAGTCTATGAAAATGTTTTCAATAAAACCGCTGAAAAAAGTTTGATCCTGTTCCTATGGAGCTTGAGTAGAGTTTTTCCTTCCTCTTGTGTTTCCTTTTCATTCAGGTTGATCAGATACTGTGTCCACTTATTTCCGATGCGAGTCTGTCAGTCTCTAATAAAAAGCGTTCATCTTTATTGTTCGTTGCAGATTTCGAGTCGATGGGTATTGTTTTTCTACTGAGTGATATATCCTCATAGAAACGGTGCAGGCCCGCAGGCCCTTTTGAGTACGATTTTTCTTAATAATGGTGGGGTTTGAAACTGCTGTCTACTATATACGTACAATATGTGGAGTCGGAAACTGCCATGAAATTTTAGGTATTTGCAGAGCACTGGTTGAGATTCTGTCTCACTGGGAATTCCGTATAAATTCACCAATTGGAACCACAATTCGAAGCAGCTCTCCAAAATAATGGCGGCTCGTGCAGGAGTTTACATTTGCAAAATGACTTCCTGTTTAGGGGGTTCAAGGTCAGGAAAAAAAAATTGTTCGGAGCGGAATTACTTTT